CAGAGGAACATTCCAGGTGGAAGAAGACTAGGGAGCGGTGACCGGCGACGCACACAGGAGCCAGGCCTGGCCGTGGACCCACGAAGGACGTGGGGAAGCTTGCGTGGCCCCTGCAGATTAGACGGGGACACTGGGCCCCAGTGGTTTCCTGATTCTGAAGGTGGAACTGAGGTTATGCAGGAGAAGGTCCTTCTGCTTCCGGAATACTCCGAGCTTTATGTCTGCATAACAGGTGTATGTCTGCAGCCTGCTCTCCAAAGGTACGGAAGCACACGTGTACAAACACGCGTGAACGTACGTATACCGCACCTGTTACACGTGCGTACGTGTTACATGCGTGTGGAGACAGAGAACAAAGTGGTAAAGCGTGGGAATCCAGGTGGAGGCATATGGAAGGTGTGGGTATTATTTGAAATGATTCCTTAAATGAAGCGTAATTCTTCACATTAACAGGTTAAATGAAGAAATAAGACTATATCAGGAGATGCAGAAGAGACATTTAAGAGAGTTCAGTGACTGTCGGTGGTGTGTTAAAAAAGCCTCCAGCGGACTAGGAATGGAGCGGAGTGTTCTGATCTGATGGAATGTGTCTACAAGAATCCCTTGCAAGGAGCAGTCCCGGGAATGAGTTGGAAACACTCTCTCTGAGACAGAAGCAGACGGACGCCGGCGGGCGCATGGGCTCAGCATCGTGCTAGAAGCTCCCGGAAGCAGCGCTTCTCTCAGGAAGCAAGGAAAAGAAACAAAAGGAATAAGAATTGGAAATAAAGAAATGAAGCCGTCATGAGATGTTGCAGGCGGTGCCACTGGGTGTTTGGAAAAGTCCGAGGAATCTGGAGAGGAATGTTTCCAGTTAATAAGTGAGTTCAGCGAGATTGTCTATCTCAGGTCAGTACGCAGAAGTCAGCTGTGTTTCTGTGGCTTTCAGCAGAGTTAGTTAGAAAACTCATATGTATGCGTGTGTATGTAACCCACACACACGTGTATCTATCCATACTGTTCGTAATACCGAGGAATAAATCCGACAAAGGAAGTATAATACTTCTATCCAGAAAACCAGAGAACGTTAATGAGTTACACCTGAACAGATGGAGATGTGTTCATAAATTGGAAGAATCAATATTATAAAGTTATCACGTCTCCCCAAACGGATCTATGCAGTCCATGTAATTGCAAGCAAAAAGCCAACAGTTTTTCCCAGTATGTGACAGATTCTAAAATGTGTACGGAAATGCGAAGGGCCAAGAAGAGCCAAAACCTTCATGAAGGGGCGCCTGGGGGGGCTAGGTCGGTGAAGCGGCCGACTCTCGATCTCAGGGTCCTGAGATTGAGCCCTGTGTTGGGCTCCACGGCAGAAGTAGAACAGGATGACAAGCTTACCTAAACGGGTGGAGACCTGTGGTAAGGCTGGGGTCATGACCACCGCGTGGCATCCACGGAGCGTGGGGAGAGGACGGCAGATGCGGCCAGGCACGGAGGCGCCCACCAGACGGTAGAAGGCAAATCACAGACAGGAGGTGCTTTCTGCAGCAAGAGGAGCGACGAGGACTCGCGTCCAGAACGCACGAAGAGCCTACACCTGTCGGTAAGAGGAAAGACAGCCCAACAGGGAAAATGGGGGGAAATGCGAAGGGGCACTTCCCAAAGGGTCAGTCACAAGATGGCCAACATCTCTCGCCATCGGTGGGGCTGCGGTGAGACCCCACCGCCCACCCCTGGGTGCAGCTGCGCAGCCGAGTGAGGTCGGAGGTGTGAAGCTGCTGCAGCTCTGCGTGCCGACCGGGGGTGAGCTGGTGCACCTGCCTAGGAAAATGGGCCTCGCCTCCCGCAGCCGAGCACAGGCACACGCCGCGGCCGGGGGCTTGCACGGTGTGTGCACGCGAGCCACCGACGGCCGTAGACGCATTCCTTGAAACCGCTAAAACTGCAAACGACCACGTGTCCCCCCAGCACAGAAGAGGCCGATGAGCTGCGGGTGTCTGCACCTGCATCCCGTGCGCAGTAAAGATGACGCCGTGCAACAACATGCATGAAGCTCACACAGAAAGAAGCCAGACCCAAGGGAACATGACGGAGGCCTCCCTAAAGCTCAGGAACAAGACGGAACTAAGCCACGGTGTTGACAGGTGCGTGCTGAGGTGCCAGCCATGCGGAAGAGCGCTGGAGCTCCGCGGACCGTGCTCCAGTTCCTGTCCCACGTGGGGGCTCCACGGCGTGCATTCGGGGTCATTCGCTGAGCTCAGCACCAAGGACTTGCAGCTTTCTGTACACATATGTGCTGTCGTTCACAATAAAATGCTCCAAGGAAAAAAGTAACAGAAAATGAAAGAAGATAATGGATAAAACATTTTTTAAAAGATTGTATTTATTCATGAGAGAGAGAGAATGAGCAGGGGGGAGGGGCAGAGGGAGGAGCAGGCTTCCCGCTGAGCCGGGAGCCCGACGCTGGACTCCATCCCAGGACCCCGGGATCACGACCTGAGCCGAAGGCAGACGCTTCGCCGACTGAGCCACCCAGGCGCCCCTGGATAAAACATTTTTAAGTATGGCTCAGTCGGATCCCGGCAGCAGCTGCGGCGGCTCTCATCTCTTCTGACTCTCCTTGCTTTCTCCCTTTCGCTTCTGGAAACATGGCTTCCGGCGTGGCAGTCTCTGACGGTGTCATCCAAGTGTTCAGTGACGTGAAGATGCTCAAGTCCTCAACACCAGAGGAGGTACTCTTCTGCCTGAGTGAGGACAAGAAGAACATCATCCTGGAGGAGGGCAAGGAGATCCTGGTAGGGGCTGTGGGCCAGACTGTAGACGACCCCACGCCACCTTCGTCAAGATGCTGCCAGACAAGGCCTGCCGCTGTTCCTCTATGACCCGACCTATGAGACCGAGGAGAGCAAGGAGGAGGACCTGGTGTTTATCTTCTGGGCACTTGAATCCGCAGCCCTTAAGAGCAAAATGATTTATGCCAGCTCCAAGGATGCCATCAAGAAAAAGCTGACGGGGACCAAGCATGAATTACAAGCAAACTGCTACGAGGAGGTCAAGGATGGCTGCACCCTGGCAGAGAAACTGGGGGGCAGTGCTGTCCTCTCCCTGGAGGGCAAGCCTTTGTGAGCCCCCTCCAGCCCCCTGCCTGGAGCATCTGGCAGCCCCAGACCTGCCCATGGGGGTTGCAGGCTGCCCCCTTCCTGCCAGTCCGGAGGGGCTGGGGGGATCCCAGCAGGGGGAGGGCAGTCCCTTCACCCCAGTTGCCAAACAGTGCCCCCTCACCCCGGGACCTTCCTCCTCCCTCCATCCCTCATGGCCCTGGCCTTCCCAAACTGCTTTTGATCTTCTGATTCCTCTTGGGTTGAAGCAGACCAAGTTCCCCCCAGGCACCCCAGTTTGGGGGGGCCTGTATCTTTTTAACGACACCCAGTCCCCCACCTGTTCCTCCCTTTTCCCATGCCGTCAACTTCTAACCGCAACAGTGACTCTGCGCTTGTCTGTTTAGTTCTGTGTATAAATGAATGTTGTGGAGATGACCCCTCCTTGCACCGCCTGGTTCCCCTGCCCTTTTCCCCTGGTCTTGGCCACCCATGGAAGCAGGACCAGTAAGGGACCTTCAATTAAAAAAAAAAAAATCTGTTTAAGTATTAAAGGAAAATAACTGGGTGCCTGGCTGGCTCAGGTGGGAGAGCACATGACTCTTGATCTCAGAGTCATGAGTCCGAGCCCTGTGTAGGGTGTAATGATTGCTTTAAAATATTTTTTAAAATAACAATAATAATAAAGGAAAATAACTATGAACCTGGAATTTTATATCCAAACAAGTTTTCATTCACATGGGGGGTGTGACGAAGGTATTTTCAGGCACAAAGGGGCCCGGAAAGTTTGTCACAACTGGATTACTTGAAAATATGTGTGGATTCAAAGCAGAAACAAATCTAAGAGATATGAAAAGTAAGGATAATCACAATTTTAGTAAAGTTTATGGTTATCTTAAAGAAAATATATTCATACTAGTTGAGGACTAAAATCTCATACAACACAAATAAGAATTTGGGAGAACAAAGGACATGAGAACATGCTGAAGTATTTATTTTGTTGGAAAAGGAAGAAATGCAGATATGTGTAAAAAAGTTATCAATCAGGGGCACGTGGCTGGCTGGGTCGGTGGAGTGAGCCGCTCTTAGTTTCAGGATTGTGAGTTCGAGCCCCACGTTGGGCACAGAGATTACTTGAAAATAAAATTAAAAAAAAAAGTCATCTGTAAATAAACATGAGAACAACTTTTAAGTTAGGGCAACTGCCATGAAAACAAAACAAAATATATGATGTTCAAGCCAACAGAAGAAAACTAGATCTACCCAATGGAAAGCAGAAAACAAGAAAAAGAAGGAGACAAAGAAAAGCAATGGAAGATAAAAATGAAATGCAGGGATGCCTGGGTGACTCAGTGGGTTAAGCATCTGCCTTTGGCTCAGGTTGTGATCCCGGGGTCCTGGGATCGAGCCCCACATTGGGCTCTGCACTGAGTGGAGAGCCTCCCTCTTCCTTTCCCTCTGCCTGCCCCTCCCCCTGCTTGTGCTCTCTTTCTCTCTCTAAAAAATAAATAAAATATTTTTTTATTTTTTTTAAAGATTTTATTTATTTGTTTGACAGAGATAGCGAGAACAGTAACATAAGCAGGGGGAGTGGGAGAGGGAGAAGCAGGCTTCCCGCCGAGCAGGGGGCCCAATGCGGGGCTCGGTCCCAGGACCCCGGGATCATGACCCGAGCTGAAGGCAGACACTTAATGACTGAGCCACCCAGGCGCCCCAAATAAAATCCTTTAAAAAATAAGTGTACAATTAATCATTTAAGACAGACTCTTACATTGGAATAAAATAAGTGAACAATATGCTGTATAAAAAAAAGTCATGAGGTTTTTTAAGACACAGTAAGGTTGAAACATAAAGGGCAGACAAGCCTTTACCAGGCAAATATGAACCAAACAAGAGCTCTAATACCATCTCAGTATACAACTAAGTACACCTTAAAGCAGAAAAATAGCATAAAGGACAAAGAATGAAGTTGTGTACTGGTAAAAGGAACACTAGGGGCGCCCGGCTGGCTCAGTCGCTGGAGCATCTGACTCCTGATTTCCGCTCAG